TTTTATTTTAGTTAATTGCAGACATTCTTCTTCTTAGCATATATTTTTCATTGGGGAAAAATCACATCCATATGAAAAAAGATATGTGGTAAGCTAAAAATATTGCTGGAGGCAGGAAAAAATAAACAATCGGTTTGTGCCTTCTTGTCATTACCAGACTAAACCTTTCATAAGGCATTTGGGCAATTTTCAGTCTTCAAGCTTTAGTGTATTTTTTTCAATCTCTGTGCTAAAATTGTTTACAGTGTAGGCAGTTCAGTGGCAGAAGCAGAAAACAAAACAAAACTAAAACCCCCAAACAAAACAACTAACCAAAAACCAAATAAACCAAAAATTCTCTTAATATAAGGCTTCCTCTTTATTCAACTAAATAATGAACTACACACTCTAAAACAGATGATCTCTTACATTCACTTTGGGAGAGTGATAGGGAATAGGAAGAAAATAGGAGATTCAGATACATCTTTCATTTTTATCATCAAACCTGATAAGTTAAAATTGGTGTTTTACTCTATTGAACATCACAAAATTGCAGATCAGTGACTCTAAATTTTTTCCCACATATTTTGTCTTAATGTGTTTTTTCAATAAAATTAGTTGTTTTCAGAGATTCCCAGAAAGGGAGAGACCTTGGCTATGAGAAAGGCCAAACCCAAATAATTTCTTACAGAAGTATAGTCAAAAGTCTTATGCCACAAGGGGTAAGGTTCAGTGCAGGCCAGCCCAAACTCAAAAAAAAAAAAAAAAAAGATGAAAAGGACTCAGCACCCAAATTAAGTATCTCTCTTTCATCAACCAGGACTTGCAGTTGTTTTGATGACATATGATACACACTACATATGGTGACATGTGACCGTTCACTTCTAGAGCCATCTCAGAAAAAGGGTAGAGAAATGATCAACTGTAACAGTAGCACTTCCTATGAGGTAACACCCTCCGCCTGCCTCCACATGGGGTACACATTTAATAGGAAATATAAAGCTCCAGTTAAATATTTTCTCTTAGGCTCCCAGATGGTCTTTTAGAAGAAGAGGGAAAAAAAAAAAAACCCAACATCTTTTTCCAGGAATTGATTATGATGCAGCTGATTTTTTTTGTCTGTGATGGTGTTCCATCCAAGACCCATCTCCCCACAAGGGTAATAGAACACCTGCTTGGAAAATAAACAAAATATGCTGGAAAGAGAAAGAAAAATATTCCCATGAGACATTGGTAGGCTTGTCCAATGTGTTTTAAAGTTTTCTCAGATGTATTGCTTTTACAATGTACATTCCTTCAATTTTATCTTCAACAAAACTTAATTTTTTCCTGACAGTGTGGCAATATTAAAATACACTTATGACAACATCAAATTAGCTCATGGAAATAAGGAATTTGTATTATAATCAAGCAAACTAGAACTTGCCATGGTAAATTTTAGTGTTCACTAATAAACAGCATGTATATGTTCTGCAGATATGTGCATTATCTATGAAAGCAAATATATTTCCTTCACACTTGTTATAGGAATATCTACTCCTAAATCAGGTATTCAGTTATTTTCAAAGAACTGTAAACTTCTAGAATGGCTTGGGATATATTTTTCAATATGTCTATAAGATTATAATTTATATGTTATTTAGTTAAATCCTTTGGTCTAAAAGGTCTTTGAAGAGATATAGAAAATACTATTTAAAAAGTCAAGATATTTAAGTTAGAGTGCATATCACAAAACAATAGATGAAACAGTACACGTAGTAAAATAATTAAGTCCTTTTTGTAAAGGTGATTGATTCAGGGTACAAGCAGCTTTGACTACTTCCTCTTACATCCTTACTAGAATTATATGACAATGGAGGATCATTAGGTGTTCTCTTATAAAAAATGAGGGCCAGGTGAGAGTTTAGAACTGATGACTTAATGAAATATTTTATTTTTATAGAATATGCTATTAGAAGTTTAGCCTATCTTTAGGATATTTAAATATAACAAAATAATTGATCACACAACAGATTTTAAAATGTGCAATATCTAAAATAAGATGTGTGCTCTTAATTGGTTTTGAAAACACATCTGCTTTGGCTATTTTTACTGAGCTAGTCTTGAATCAGTTTGGTAAAAATGACTCAAACCGGAAATATAGACATAGCCAAAATACCAAAATAAGAGTGTGTTCTGGACAAACTGTCAGGAAAACAAAAATAAGGTGATGATGATGGCTCTCACAAAAGATGTAAATTGGAAGAAGATAAAGTTAGCTCAATTTTGGCATCATTGATCCCGAAAATTTCTTTTTAATTATAAATAACCAAGTGAACTAACTTCTTGAGATTCTGAAGTAATGGAGTTAGACCATAAAATATACACCTCTATACTATTATCAGGGCAGAGAGAATATTTACTTTTACAATTGTTATGATAGGAATGTTTGTACCTAATTATTAAGAGATGTGATATTATTCACAGAAAAGATCAAGTATAAGGATAATAATGAACATTTGGATTAGATAATTTGAGAGAATTTGACCTATGGTTGATAACCAACTTCTATTTTAATTACAAAACTGGTATTATGATATAAATTTTTCAAGAAAATTAATAGAATGGGAATTTTATCGATATTTGGGCTCTACTGTAGATTTAGAAAAAGAAACAAAGATTGATAGAGAAATAAATATTGCAAATGATCTGAGTTATTTTCTCAGTGAAGCTTCCCAGGTGGTGCTAGTGGTAAAAGAACCCATCTTCCAATGCTGGAGAGAGAGGCAGATTCAATCCCTGGGCCAGGAAGATAAATATTTTATTTTTATAGAATATGCTATTAGAAGTTTAGCCTATCTTTAGGATATTTAAATATAACAAAATAATTGATCACACAACAGATTTTAAATGTGCAATATCTAAAATAAGATGTGTGCTCTTAATTGGTTTTGAAAACACATCTGCTTTGGCTATTTTTACTGAGCTAGTCTTGAATCAGTTTGGTAAAAATGACTCAAACCGGAAATGTAGACATAGCCAAAATACCAAAATAAGAGTGTGTTCTGGACAAACTGTCAGGAAAACAAAAATAAGGTGATGATGATGATGGTGGCTCTCACAAAAGATGTAAATTGGAAGAAGATAAAGTTAGCTCAATTTTGGCATCATTGATCCCGAAAATTTCTTTTTAATTATAAATAACCAAGTGAACTAACTTCTTGAGATTCTGAAGTAATGGAGTTAGACCATAAAATATACACCTTTATACTATTATCAGGGCAGAGAGAATATTTACTTTTACAATTGTTATGATAGGAATGTTTGTACCTAATTATTAAGAGATGTGATATTATTCACAGAAAAGATCAAGTATAAGGATAATAATGAACATTTGGATTAGATAATTTGAGAGAATTTGACCTATGGTTGATAACCAACTTCTATTTTAATTACAATACTGGTATTATGATATAAATTTTTCAAGAAAATTAATAGAATGGGAATTTTATCGATATTTTGGCTCTACTGTAGATTTAGAAAAAGGAACAAAGATTGATAGAGAAATAAATATTGCAAATGATCTGAGTTATTTTCTCAGTGAAGCTTCCCAGGTGGTGCTAGTGGTAAAAGAACCCATCTTCCAATGCTGGAGAGAGAGGCAGATTCAATCCCTGGGCCAGGAAGATTCCCTTGAGGAGGGCATGGCAGCCCACTCCAGTATTCTTGCCCAGAGACTCCCGTGGACAGAGGCACCTGGCTGGCACAGTCCATAGGTCACAAAGAGTTGGATATGACTGAAATGAGAGCACATACGCATACACACACACACACACACACACACACACACACGTGTACACATCTTCTCAGTGAGGTAAAAGAGAAGACTGGGGACTTCTCTGTGGTCTAGTGGTTAGGAGTTTGCCTTGCAATGTAAGGCACATGAATTCAGTCCGTAGTTAGGGAACTTAGATCCCAGATACTACAGAGCGATTAAGCCTGTGCACCGTGTGCCTCTGACACAGTCAAAGGAATATTATAATTATTTTTTAAAGGATTCTGATCAGTAGGTTAGCTGTCCCTGAAGCTTGCCTGTGGTTCACATAGGAGATGTTACTGAGAGCTCAGAACAGCTAGCTAATGAGAAGAAAGTTGATAAAGAGTCTGACACTGAATCCAGTGAGCCCTTATGTATGCGGCTGGGAATACAAATTTCCTTTTTGTTAACCTAACAATTCATCACTCAGAAGAGAATTTAGATAGTTCAAGAAGCAAAAGTTTTTTTTTGGGGGGAGGCATCTTTTTATAAATATATATATATAAGAGAGAGAGAGAGAGAGAGAGAGAGAGAGAGAGAGCATCCTGTGCCTTCCTAATTCTAGTCAGGGATTATTCTTTCATCTTGAGAGCATATAGAGATTGTCAAATGGCTATGGATTCAGGAGAAATAAGTCACTCAGTCATTCAGTAAAATTTTCCCTCTTACTAAAATTATTCTTTGGCAATTAAGGCCCCCAAATTTCATTCCTGTGGTAAATAATTTTTTAATCCCAGGACTTCCCACTGAGGTTTTTCTTTGATTCATTAAAAAAATAAATTATGTAGAAAATGTGATGCATCTTTTGCTCAGTCTGTTTGAGAGTATACTCTGAATACTTAAAAAAATTATTTTTAATTGGAGAATATTGCTTTACAATATCGTGTTGATTTCTGCCATATATCAACATGAATCAGCCAATATTCATATATATGGGGGTTCCTTGGTGGTTCAGATGGTAAGGAATCCACCTTCAATGTAGGAGACCCAGAGTTAGATCTCCAGGTCAGGAAGATACCCCAGGGAAGGGAATGGCCTCACTCCAGTATTCTTGCCTGGAGAATCCCATGGACAGAGGAGCCTGGTGGGCTACAGTCCATGGGGTGGCAGAGTCAGACATGACTGAGCAACTAACACATCCACAGTCTTTATACATGTAACTCCTTTCTCTTGATCCTACTTCTCTCCTCCCACGCCATCCTATCCATCTAGGTTATCACAGAGCACTGGATCTGGCCTACTTTTATCATGGTATTTCAGCTTCTTGGCAGCAGAAGTCATGGGATGAGAAGACCAACCTTCTATCTCAGGTACGAAAAAATGGAATATTCAGAGGTGTTTGCACTTGCCTGGGTCAGTGGTTAGGCGGCAAACTTCTTCCAGAAGACAGTTGGAGGAGAGTGCTCTGAATTCTTAGCACCATAATGCAAGATTACTCATGGTATTAAAGAAAAACTTCATTTCATTTCAGCCTAATAAAATCTCTGAGCTTCTTATTCCAGCTAAATGTTTAGACTTGGCAATATCAGTGTTACAGATCAAACTTAATAGGGAAATTCTAGCATATTCATTTTATGAAGAAGTTCATGTATACAAAAAGTAGTTATTAATATTCAATAAAACTGGCCAGTGGATCAAAGATATTTTGTTTTCTTGGACTAACAAGTGGGTATAGGAGATGTCAGAACCAGAATGGAAATATTGGACAGAAGGTAGAGATAATAGAGACAACTATTTTAAAAGTCTAGCAAATAAGGAGAGGGAAAAATGGTGGAAAAAAAACAACATCAGGATTGAATAATAGAAAAAAATTTTCCCAAGTATGGTATTGTAGGCAGTGGAAAAAGAGGGGAGAGTTTCACCATGAGGAAGAGCCAGGTGATAACTATCAGATCGTGTCTCTCATCATTATAAAAAAACAGCGGATGCTCTGGAAGTGGGGCTGAGTCCTGAGTATAAAGGGAAAATCCACTGTGATGGCTTTGTTTTTCTAAGGAAAATAATTAACTCATCTGTTTAGAGTGAAGGAGGGGATGGATGTATTGAAGATGGAGGAGAGCTAAAACATTTAGAATTATTTTTGTGAGCAATAAGTGAGATGACTTATATGAGCCCAAGGAAGAGTTAAATCAAAAGATTTGAGAAAGCCACTGTGAACCCAGTTTGAGTGAGAAAACTCTGATTTCAATGCTATTTTTAGGCTGCTTTGACCTACTTTGAAATTTCCCAAATGCTCACAACTTTTTTGCTTTCTCTCTGGACTGCCATTGTGAGGTCATACATTGCCCCTTTGCCTCATGGGGGGAAAAATTGTGTTTCAAACCTTTCCCACCTCTAAAAGCAATTTTCATTTGTTTCTTTTGTATCAAATGAATTTGGTAAACGTGCAAATACAGAAAAGCATCCTAGTTGCTTTGCCCATCCCTACAAGCTCTTTCCACTGTCATTCTTCCCTAAGTAACATTATTTATCAGTAGGATAATTCAGAACATATTTCTAAATTCTAGAAGAGAAATAAAAAATTCAGGAAGTCTCAAACAGGTTGGGGGGTTTGACAAGCACCCTACGCGGGCAGTGGATTTTGGATTCCTTGTATCACATAGCCTCAAATAATTGACCACAAGTAATATAAAATATATGTCATATGTATATGTGTGTATATATATATACAATATATAAATGATTATCTATATAATAAATGTTACTTGTGAATTTGGTATTTCTTTCCTGAAAAGCTAGAGAGAAAAGATTGGACTGTAGCTACATAAATATTTCTTTCTGATTACACAGCATATAAAAATAAAATGACACTTTCAAAATACTTTACCCTGAAAACTTTTCTATTACTCAGGGAAGCTCTTCTTAACTGCTTCCTTCAAGTTTGTTCTGTGATTTACTGGGACCATTTAGAGACAGCTCATATTTTCTAGACATACTGTAGATATTTTAATGCCTTAATCAATTTTTGCCACTTTAGTTCTTCTACTGGGCTAGATTAATCTTCCCCTATGTTCCCAACTTTCAAAGAAGATCACTTATCAAAATTATCTTTACAGGAAAAAATGAAGCTGCAATTAAAAAAAAACACATTTGTCTCTCTCAAGTCATATATCACAAATATTAACTATGATATAAACAGCTTTTAGAATAAAGACTTAAGATAAATGTGTTCTTCAGTTCTAGAAAATGTGTAAAAATGGTTATTGTTTGCTTTCCAGTTTAAGTTAATTTGATTTTTTATTTTACTCTGTTAATGTATTATAATATATGTCACTTCCAAAGAAGTAGAGATGTCATAGCTGAAAATTGTGGAATGGGTGAAAATGAGGTTTTAAAGCAGTGGAAATGAAATAAAGTAAGAAAGGGCATAGCAAGCCCTGTATAAATGAATCCACACTATCCAATTTGGGGAATATCTTATTCAGTAGGGTGCTGATTACTTTCTCCAGGTTTTCATTTTCACCGTGAGCTAATGTGTTTTCACCATATACACATTCTCTTCTCTTCACAACAGATTTCCCCATCCTGTTTTTCAAGGAGGTCTCAGCTGCCATAGAAAGGGACTTAGAAGAAAGATCTTCTCCTACTGTAAGAACAGAGACAAAAAATTGGATTGACTACTTTTTTCTCCTGTTTCCCAGAAGTCAAGGGTTTCCAGGAATACTGATCCTGACTGGCTTATCAAGGCAATGGATTATGACGTTTGACTCTCAGCATTTCTCTTGTGATGCCATTCCTCTCTGGTAAGTATCCAAAAGGAAAAAAATACAATCTTGTTCTTTTTTTGTTTTTAACATTTTTTATTATTGGAGTATAATTGCTTTACAATATTGTGTTAGTTTCTGTAGTACAGTGAAGTGAATCGGCCATACATACACATGTATCCCCAAGCCTCTCTCCTACCTCCCTTCATTCTTAACTCAGGCTTCAACTAAAGTTACTTCTCTAGGTCCTCTTGATGTCTAGGTTGATAAACATATATGAAGAGGATATAATTGGCAGTCTAGTCTTGGAATCCCAAATTCATTTTCAAAGAGTATTTTATAACATGTCAAAGTTTGAAAAGAGCTTATGTTTTCAATAATAAAATAAAACTTGGACTTCCTCTGAAATAAATTTAAAATCATTTCTAACTGGAGCTGAACTGTAACATGGGAAACTTTCTACTCCTCTCTCCCTTAAAAATTTTTTTGCTGTCATTTCACATGTTTTACTGTTAAAGAAATATGGCTCTGGTCAATCATGTCTATAAATATCACCTAGAGATGTTTTAATTACCTGAAACCTCTGTGGTCATTGTTTCTTGCCTTGGTGAGCCTAGAAATATGCTAACTCTCTACAAGAGGCAAGAGAGGAAAACTTTGGGCTGAGAGTTAAGTAAATTAGGAAAGATGGGTTCCTGGCTGGATTCTAGTGTTAATTTTTTGAAATCAAGTACACAGCTTCAGCGGGCCTCAATTCCCTCAGCTATAAAAAGAGGAATTGAAGTTGGAATACTTTGGGAGGCTTTTCCTAGCAGTAAAAGTCTATGTTTGAAAGGCTTTGTCCAAAGGATCAGTTGCAACCATTCAAAAAGGGTCTACAACAAGGAAACTGATAAAAACTTTCCAAAATGTCAATTCTTTTGCTTCTCGATGTCTGTGATTTACCTCGAGGCTTAAAAAAAAATACACCTGCATGCAGCCAAGTGAAGTGGATATTTTCTTTCTTTGCTTTTTTATACTCAGAACAGCCCAGCAGAGCTGTGAGAGGCCATAGCAGTGCCCTCAAGTCAGAAAGGAAGAGCAGGTTGCGACCATCACTCAGAAAACAGACTCAGGCTGATGGAAGATGTTCTCATTGGGATGGTGTGCCCTTTCCTGCTCTTGTTTAATGGAACCTCCATATTCGGAAGCCCATTGGTAGAAATAAGTATAAATCCAATTCTATCCTTTGAAAGAAAACTGTTAATGATATGCTACGTGAACATGTTTTTCTTTTCTGCCCAGTAATTTGTATAGGCTCACTCCTTATTTGTCTCTTGATAACCTCATCAATCTCACCCATGCCCTCCTGACCACAGTGCCTGATTGCAGTAATTCCATTTTAGGGGGGCTTTCAGAAGAACTTGGCTTTTGCATTCAGTGAGAGCTGCACGATGGAGTGATCGTTTTTTCCCGAGAGTGAGCTACTGAGATCATATTATGCTTGCCTTGATTTCTTTGTAAAGCCTGCCTATAGAATTTCATATTGATTTTAAGCTGGCGCTGTTTCATTTTTAACTCCTTTGTTAGCCAAGAGTCCGGTTATATTAGTGTCTCCTCCCTGTCATTCTGACAGGCATTGGTTATCTGCTTTTTTTTTTTTTTTTTGCAGACTTTAGTCTTTACACCAACCTTGGTAGTTCTTTTGGTGTAGAATTTGTTGCCTTTACTCTTTTATATTGTGATTGTTTTGTTTGAAAAGCAGAGAGCAGCATAGTGCCAGGTTGTAAGGCTAAGATACAATTTAAAAAATAAAATATAAATAAGAAAGCAAAGAGCTTCAAAAAACAGAGAGGTAGGTAGAGGATGGGTATTCATGCTGAAGAGTCACGGTAGCATTGATAGCCTTACATTGTTCCAGAAAGGGTTTTGAAGAAGTGAGCCTTGCCAAGTAATGTGCAGCAGGCCCCAGTTGTCAGCTCAACAGTGAGAAATGGCTACAGGTGTGACTTATTGAAAGCATACCTTAGTTTCAATGTTTATCAACTGGCTGTCCTCCAGAATCTCAATTTGGTGTCATTTGGCAAGAAGTCCGACCTAAAGTAATACAGATTTATAAGTGGCACCAACACTAATAGCACAATCATTTTGTAGTGCTTTGGAATTTACAAAGCCTTTCAAATCCATTGTCTCATTGGATCTCTGCAAAGGCCCTGTAACATGGGCAGGGTAGGTCTTAACATGTCCCACTTCAGAGGTAAGGAAGCAGAGACCAAGAGATCACAAATTAGTCAATCATTAAGATATATGGTAGACAGAACTAGGGCTTGAATGTCCGTTTCCTTACACCAAACTTGTTGCCCTTTAATTTTGTACTAATATGAATCAATGCAAGCAAAAACATCACTTGTACATGTTTTGCATTGCCTTTCTATGTACAATTCCTTATTTATTTCCTTGTCTTTGTACTTTTTAGGGTGTCCTTTCAGATTTATCTCCAGCATAGCATTGTTACTTTTATCACAAAGGAGAATGACAGAAATCAGGGTCTCCATGTTAAGCATATTATTCTTAACTGCTTAGTGAATTTTCCCACTGGATTGCCCTATTGTATTTTAAATTTTATTTTAGCTCTATTTTCTCGTCTGTGAAGTGAAGGGGTTAGGCTGTGTTCTTCTCATTCTATGGTACCGTGATTAGGAGAATGGGAGGTGAAGAAAGAATCAGAGCTGCAAGTGAATGTGATTATCACGGAATCACAAGTACAGTGCATTATGCATGTTTTAAAACTGGATATAGTATTTATATTCTAAAGTGTTTCCTTATGAATTACCTTCATCCTTCAGTGTACTGTTTAGTCTTACTGCAAACATAATCCTTACACAAATCCAAATCAATCTGTTTGTCCTCCATAAAAGCTACTTAAAATTTTCAAAACTTGTTTATGTCCAAAGGCAAAATGTTTAGTTTTATCAAATTCTCTCAGTTGATATAGGGTTTTGTAAGATTGACTATAAATAGCCTCTAAAATACTCACATTTTTCCCCTTACTCATGACTTTCTAGAGTGTTTAAGCATCAGCGATCATTTTAAATTTAGTGATTCCATATTCTTTATTTAATGCCTCGGTGCAATATTTGAAACTAAATCATGCATTTCAAAATTCAAGAACAAATGTATTTTGGAAAGACTTGTGTGGGATTCAATAATCTTTTCATAAAATCATTTCAAATTCTAAATGAAATAAATTTTCATTTCATATTTTAGTAATTGTTCTTATTGAATAGAGTTAACTAATTGATCATAGTGGTTATTTGCTAACCTACTCTTTATTTGATAGAACATGAAGAACTTAAAATATTCAGAGACTTAGAACAAAACAAGATTCATAAAATCTTCTCTTATGAAGCCCTTAGATAAATGCTGACTTTTGAAAGACTTAGGTTACATGTCCAGGCTTCAGATATGGACTTTGAAAATCAATGACACCAACACCAATAAAGCAACAACCACAATACAAAGCCTAGGTCACTATGGTTAAATAGTAAAATTTTCTCTTTTTTTGCTTCAAATTTAATTTTTATAATGCTATTAGCAGACTGCTAGTAATACACTTATAATTTGACCTTTCATTTTGTTTTTTTATGCATCTAAATAAATAGGAACTAAAATTGTGAGGAAATTTAGAGCTCAGTTTCTATTTGTGATTTCTAATATTTGATGGGTAGAAATACAAATCCAGTGTACATGAGTTGTTTTCAGTTTTTGAGCATGATTTCCCCAGAATTTACTTGTGGCAAAGGCCACCAAACTGCTTTTTCTTCTTAATACATATAGATTTTGCTCGCAAGATTTTTAACATGATGGCTTTTCATTCCCTTAAGTTCAGTCCTAAGGTGGATATGATCAAAATTGGTGAAGAGTAAATATAGTCCCTGAATAGAATTCATAGTCATAGTTATATCTTTGCACAACCATACCAGTGAAACCCTAAACGAGGCAAAACTCACCACTTTTTCTAAAAAAAAAAAAAGAAAAATTATTCAATATGAAGCTCAGTTTCATTAAATGGCTTTGAGAGGTCTGAATGTCTCTCCATGAACCTGGGTCACCTTCTGCTCTTATCCTGGGAGATTTCTGGTTCAGATGGAATCATTCCTAACTTGCAGTATCCTGAGGTTTGCTTTGAATCTTAGAGTTTATTCATATGAAAACTCAAGAGATATAAACTGAAATAAAAATACTATGTTCAAAGAGTTGCCTGAAAGTTGAAACCACCCAGCCTCATGCAGCTGCAGCCACTGTGATCCTCTGACCAGAGTGTTTGGGAAGCTTACCCTCAGTGATGGCATTAACAGAGTAATTGCTCCAAATTTTTATAGGCACATCAACTAGTGATGATAGAGCTTGGTTTAATTTTTCTACTCTTTTTGCTTATATCTCAGATGTACTTTCTGTGAGGCTTGTTCTCAGGACCAGGAGAGGTAAAGAAAATTAAATAAATAAAATACATAAAATACGGGGAGGAAGAGTCCCAACTTCTAAGCATGCATTCTCATGGATGTTTCTAATAGAGAATCTTAGAGTGGTCTTATGAGGGGTGAGCTGTGTGGGAGCATATATTGATGACTTGGTTGGCAGTGCTTCCCACTGTGTGTCAAGCTACAGATGTATTCCCAATCAATTCCCACACAGTTACAGTTCAGAGAACTGTTCTGAAAGCAGAGAGCATGGCATCCAGGGTGTGAGAGGCAGAAACATCAGAGAAAGGTTGGAAGAGGGCAAATATCCAAACCAAGCATAGCTGGAGCAGGTCTAAAGAGACAGAGCTGCAAAATTAAAGAATAAAAGACAGTGTGTGTATGCGTGTGTGCATGCATGTAAAACAAATGTAATAAAAACACTCAAAGAAATTTCCATGAGTTTGTTAGTCGTGATCTATATTGGGATTTGCTTTATGTAATAGGAACCAGATATCTATTGTTGAATCAAATGAAATGGAATAAGCAAAGTCCTTAAGAATCCCAAATACTGAACAAACAAGAGCTAAAAATATTATGTATTTCATATACATTACATTTTAATGCATTTTTGGTAAAAATAAAATCTGATCGAATAACAAATATAGCTTGAACACTGACTTCACCAACATTTTATCTGAGAACCTTGCATGCTGTGTTCTGTAATCCATTCTGTAGCTTCAGATATTGTCCCGTGAGGGCTTTCTACAAGTGTGTTCATAAATGTGTATTAAGTTTATGTATATGCTAATATAAATGTGCTATGCATTACATATATATATGCAATATATGAAACTAAACTATTTTTTAAAATTCAGCATAAAATATTAAATATATATATATACCATATACATACTCTTTATGTGCCATCTATAATCTGGTAAATGGGACTTATTGGAGGACTTTTTAAAAATCAGAAGATAATATTTGAATATAAGACATTTTATATTAAATTTAAAGTTAAAAACTATTTTTGTAAACTAAAATCCACAGTTGCACTCATCTCACACGCTAGTAAAGTAATGCTCAAAATTCTCCAAGCCAAGCTTCAGCAATATGTGAACCATGAACTTCCAGATGTTCAAGATGGTTTTAGAAAAGGCAGAGGAACCAGAGATCAAATTGCCAACATCCGCTGGATCATCGAAGAAGCAAGAGAGTTCCAGAAAAAACATCTATTTCTGCTTTATTGACTATGCCAAAGCCTTTGTGTGGATCACAATAAACTGTGGAAAATTCTTAAAGAGATGGGACTACCAGACCACCTGACCTGCCTCCTGAGAAACCTGGATGCAAGTCAGGAAGCAACAGTTAGAACAGGACATGGAACAACACACTGGTTCCGAATAGGAAAAGGAGTACATCAAGGCTGTATATTGTTACTCTGCTTATTTAACTTATATGCAGAGTACATCATAAGAAACGCTGGGCTGGAAGAAGCACAAGCTGGAATTAAGATTGCCGGGAGAAATATCAACAACCTCAGATATGCAGATGACACCACCCTTAAGGCAAAGAATGAAGAGGAACTAAAGAGCCTCTTGATGAAAGTGAAAGAGGAGAGTGAAGAAGTCGGCTTAAAGCTCAATATTCAGAAAACTAAGATCATGACATCTGGTCCCATCACTTCATGGCAAATAGATGGGGAAACAGTGGAAAGAGTGGCTGACTTTATTTTTCT